TAGGAGTATTTGTGATTATTATTAACTAATATTTTAACTACGGCAAACTAGTCCGGTCGATAAGAATATTTGTGTTCTTTCGTTAGCATCGCAAACTAACGAAATAATTTCGTCTAATGACGTGAATCAACTATAATAGGATAAGTGATATTTTCTCTTGATTTTATTACGCAATACCAGTGATTGAAATTAAGTCACATAACTAAAGCATTTATTTAAGTTCATCTCTGTACCGAATAATCAGAAATTTTTAAATAAAAAAAATTTTGTAAATAGTATTTAACATCCCAATGTCGACATCTGCAAAGAAAGTTATGCTTAATAAAATCCAATAATAAGTCCCCAACAAAGAACGGCTATTTCAACACACATACTCGCACACAGCCACAGTCGATGGTAATAATCGTTGCACTGCTGTTGTAGTTCTTTTTTCTTTCTTTTACACTCCAAGCAACAACAACAGCAACAACAACAGCAAATAAAACTACACGAGAAATATCTACAATAAATATATATAGTGATTCATATGAAGGAAAAAGTTAATGCCTTTGATGATAAAACAAAATAACAGAGAAAAAAAAATATTATGATAATAATCAGGATGACAATGATGATGACGATGATGATGATGATGAGGATGATGAACAGTGCACAAGCAAACTATACTAACAAAATTTTCAAAGAGCTAACAACAAATGCAACAAAAAAATAAATAAAAATTCATCAAAGCATACATACATCATATATACATATACATACAAATATATATATATATATATATATATGTATATGTATATTAAATAAAGCACTGCAGGCAACTAATAGCATTTGCAAAATATATCTTTATAAAGGAATCTAAGCAAAAATATGAAAAGCAAGCAAAAAACCTGCACCTACCTTACGGCGAATTTTTGGATACCCAACAGCCGCGAAGAAGTATATAAATCTAAATAAAGCAGACGTTGGACGTTAATAGATATTTCGGCCTCATTTGCCGATTGCTAGCCCCGTCTTCACGTTTTCCGATTTACGAGAATTTTTCAATTTTCAAATTTATTTCATCGCTTTTTCTATTATTCGTTATAACAGCTCAGCAATATTGATGGGACAAAAAAAGAGATAACATAGCATAGCGGCATAGCATGATTTAAAGAAGTTATTGAGCATATATTTAATTAATGAGAACAATAATAATTTTTGAAAAATAGTTGGAAAATACGGAGCAGCGGAGCCGGTTAGATTTATCTGCAATGAGTTTAAGATTTTTAAAATGGATTACGAGATATGCTCTGTTATTATAATAAAATTTTGTTTTTTTGATTTTCAGATATAATCTGAAGACCACAAGATTGTTATTGAACTGTTCATGTGTTCTTTTTGATTTGCTCCTTCTCTAAGAGATTTTATGCGAGAAACTGCCGCCTTTGTCGTATGTGACAAACAAAAAATAGGCTAAACTTTACGCTTTACATTCTGCGATATGACAAAGAAAAAAAGGGCAGAAAAACATGTAATTCTTCTTTACCGGTTTTGGGCAATAAAGATCAACTTTTCATCAAATGCTTTTTTCTGTTAGTTTCTTCGTACAAGCCTTATATGCTTTCGAATCCGTCTCACTGCCGTACCTAATCAATGTTTGCGCTTCGGTGAAGGTAGATTTTCCTTTCAAAATATTTCAAAGTGCACGTAAAGACGTCGTTTGAAGACGTCCGATTCGGGAATTAGCAAAGATGAAATTTCATAACAGCATCGATGAATACGAAGCACTTGAACCAAATCTCAAAATCCTAAGCAAGAAGTTTCTTCCAGATAATACATATACGTGAAACAAACGTGAACAAACGTGAAAAGCTTAGCGCATTGTTGCTCTTGGGATTTGTAATCTTCTATGTGAAGGCTTTGAATGGACTAAGCATAGGTTTCGACCCTCGTCAAAAACATATAAATCGTTAATTTTGAAAGTGTTCTAAGTATGCAATTAATTTAAGTTTATTTCTCTCTCATTTACTTGCTCTCTCTCTCTCTCTCGATCTCTTCATCGCTCACGCTCCCCTCTCTCATTCGCTACTGTTTAATCATTTTCTGCCTGGCTGTCCATCTCCTTCTCTCTCTTTCTCTTTCTCTCTCTCTCTGTCTTTTTCTCTTCCTCTCTCTCTCTCTCCTTCTCTCAAAACCCATCGTTCCGATCTTTCACGCCTCTCACCGATCTTTCACTAGCCTTTGTATTTCGGTAGACGATAATAATTAAATCGAAGAGTTGCCATCAAAACGTGCTTGAAAACCAACTTGATTTCTATATTGTATATTATAGACTTATAGAGTGAGACTATTTTTGAAAATTATCGAGTTATATGCACTTGATACAAATTTTAAAGCATCTCGAAAATTCTTGATTGGATAACACAAACGCAATGACAAAATTAGTAGATACTCATGCCACGATCATTATAAAATTTTGCTGCTTATGCACATATGCGAGTACAAACAAAGGCAAACTATAATACGATTTTATATAAACCAAATCGTATTACTGGAGTTTATAAGTAAAACAAAAAGATATGTCGAAAAAAAAAAAGGGGAAATAAAGTATGCTCGTGATTATGGCAGAGAAAATCTGATTTAGAAGCCAAAAATGTTGTTATTAAAACTATACAACGAAAAGTAGTCAACATTTTATAATAAAGTTGGAGAAACTCTACGATATGCACGAGATGGAAATCATTAAGAAACAGAGAGTTAACAGACACAAAAACACCACCCACTGTCTGCATAACATAATGAATACAATAAAAAGTATGCGTTGTGGCAATCACTTTGATAACAAGAAGATCAAGTTAGCTGAAGTTATAAAAGTATAACACCCGTACAAAATGTTGTTATATAAGGTTTGGAAAAAAGTGCAAAGATTTCCTTTTTCAATTTTTATTAGAAAGATCGCATAAAGCGTAGCTTGTAACCGCATCGACCTACATTGATTATAAAGGTTAATGAAAAAAAAAAAAAAAAAAAAAAAAACAAAATAATAATAAAAAAATAAATAATAAGAAATAAACAAACACGAGAAACGAGAAAACTTTCTTTAACACCTAAGATTTGTAGGTAGGTTGAAGAGCGTGCATGTTAAGCAAAAAAAAAATGGGACGTAAAACTCACAAATTGATATCATATACGCATACTGTAGGAAAATGAAAATGAAAATGAAAACTACATTACCGCATAACATAGCATCAATGTATGTATAGTAGCGTAGCGGTAGAAGATTTAAGCACCTTTTACTTGAATTACTTGGCTGACGTGACTGTTGGTCCACTAAGTAAACTTTCATGCAACCATAGCAATGAACCTGTATGCAAGATGTTACCTACCGGTCACAAAATACCCACAACCTAAGTTACGACATTCGACCATAATCAATTGTGTTGACGGCCAGACACATGAAATGCCAGCAAATGAAGAAAACGCATACAAAGCCAAACCGGTTATTGTTTGGTAACGAGAGAAACGTTCAAGCACGAGATTAACTAAGTGTTGTTAACCAACCAATATATATATATATATATATATATATATATATATACATGATTGGTTCATAATAATGTAAATGAAAGCGAAATTGTTTGGTTTGCTTACTTTTTCTCTAAAGAGAGTAAAATTGTCATAATGCGATCTTATAGGAAAGCAGCAAGGTTGCGTAACATGACTCACACAGAAATAGCAAACATGCATACGCTTTAATAAGTGGTGAATATATTAAAAGCGGTTCATATACGATTACATTGGCAATGAAATTTGATTATCAGGAAATAATAGCTTTGAAGTAAACCGTAGATACCCTTAGCTGATACGACTCGAAATCAAAATCATTCAATTGATTGAATGATCCTTGAACTAAGACCTAAACTTTGGAATTTAAAAATATTTTATATCTTATTATTTTTAATTTAAGGCATTAGTGTCCGCTTCATTGAAAACTATGCCGCACTTGACATTTGAATCCACGACCAATATGCGATGTTATTTATATCATCATATCTTACAACTTGAATTAGGTAAAAATTATTGCAAAAAAAAAAAAAATATTTTGAAATTTTGAAAAAATTCGTCTCTAACCAATGGAGAGTTTATTTGCATAAAAACTACTTGTAATTAATTTCGAAGAAATTTATTAAGGTCAAGTTAAAATGATTTGATTATAGAGAGAAATGTGGCTAAAAAATTTCAAGGTTATTAGGGGCAAAATAGTCCTTAGAAGAGATGTTACAAAACGATACGAACATATTAGTAAACTTGCATCGCATCGCATCGCATCGCATCGCATGTTTTATGATAAATAAAATTTTATAAACCGGTCGCTACAGAGATGATCTTAGCCTTACTGTGATCTTACCTTCAACGTAATGAAAATGGTTTTGTGTAACTTCACCATAGTCTCAGCACTAACACTTTCGTTTTTTATTTGCATTTTTCATTTTTATGCTTCTGTCTCTTCTCTTTTTAACATACTCTTCTCCATTTCCTTCAGGCCTTTTTGACTCTGATGTTTACTTTAAAAATTGTATGATATAATTGCACTGCCTGTGCCGGTTAAGGTGTTTGTAGAAAATTTTCATTTTTAACTTGCGTTCAGCTCAGTCAGTTTAAACACTCGAATACACTTTGGAATCTTCCAAACGAACGGAATTCAGGCAAATTTCGGTTTTGTTTCTTTTCGTCTTTTTTTTTTTGTTTTTTTGTTTTTTTTTTTTTTTTTGGGGAGGGTTATATTAGCAACTGTTATCAGTTTGGCGTCAGCATTTTTGTGTTTAACGTAGCAAACAGCGGTTGTCATAACGTGGACGTTGTGTGTCGGTTCTATCATTTATTTATTTATTTATTCCTGAATACCTTTTCTGTTTTTTTTTTTTTTTTTTTTGTTTTATTTTTCATAAAGCTTATAAGACAAGCTTAAATATATTACAAAATAAGCGAAAAAAAAAAAATATTATAAATAAATAAAAAAATAAAAACAAAAAAAAAAACAAAACAAAAATCTGATGTTGATACAGTAAAGTGAAAGAAAAACCGAAAATAAAGAGCATACCAACTAAACAGAATATAAACTCACATATATCCGTTTCCGTTCTTGTTTTTCGTTTTTCGTTTTTCGTTCTACTCTTTCGTTTTTATCTTTTTTGTATTTAATTTTTTTTTTTTTTTTTTTTTTTTGTTTTTTTTTTTGGCAAACGTGTGTTAACTTCTATCCTAACGCTAAACCGGAAGTAATTCCATTCTAAAACATTTGCACAACAGCTCAAAGGATTACAGAGTGTGTTTGTGCATATTTGCGGTGCTTTTCTTCATTCATCTTCCACTCGTCTGTGTATGCAACTGAGAATAAAAAGAATTTCCCATCATCATCGTCATCATCATCATCGTCTTCATCACGACTGTGCAAATGGTAGGCAAAGCAGAATAATGCAGAAGATATGAAATTTTAACTAATAGAAAACACACACACACACACACATGCATACATACATACACGCACACAAAAAGACAGTCAAGGACTAACATACACAAAAAGTGAGAAAATTACAGCTTTGGATTAAATCAAGTAAATAATGATTAGATGTGACAAACAAACCTTTGAAAAGGAAAGAAGGAAAAAAGGAAAAAAAACAAGAAATTATATGAACAAAAAAAAAAAAAAGGACACAAAATTTAAATTTAATATTCTTCGTCTATCCGCACACACACACACACACACACACACACACACGCATTCAAACAAAATACTATAGCAGCTCTAATAAGCATAGATTATTTATTCCTATCGTTAAGGTAATCTATGCTAAAGAAGTTCAAAAATATAATTAGCCGACTATCGACTAAGGGAGTGTTTGTTTTAAGCGTACATGACGAATTTCATAATAATGTGTTTTCTTAAAAAATTATGATAAATGCAATTTTATTGCTTGATGCATCAGATATTTGAAAGAGAAATATTTTGCAAAATTTTTTTATGAATTTTCTAATCCGTCTTTTGGCAACGAAAAGAGTCCTGTAATACGTTTATGGCAAACTATAGAGCCCTTCAAAGCTTTGATTATATATGAATTTATTCAGATTAAAATTTAATAATAATATTTTATATTTAATTCACGATTTTTCTGATGACATGTTAATCTAAAATTCTGTTCTGTAATCTGTAAGAAGAAGATATTTTTGTAATCGTACTCTCCAACTAAATTAATGCCATTCAGAAGATTCTTCAAACACTACGATAAAAAAAACAATTTGAAACTTGAAGATGCCAAGTCCGGGCCCATACGCTCCTGATGCTTACCAATTTTGTAATCTATTCCAACATCTAAATCCCGCTGAATGCGATCTGCATTTGTCAGCATAGAAGACACACACACACACATTTTCTGTTAAAGTCATAAAAATGTTTTAAAAAAAGTGCTAACATTTCAAAGAGAAAATTATCGGAGAACTGAAAGCAACTAACAATTCCTTCTTCTCTCTTATATACATTTTAATCACATAAGCAATATAAGATAGAAAGAAGCCTTATTAATGGGCACATGAAGAAGCATATAAAAGACTTGAAAGAAATTTATAAGCTTGTTATCCGACTTTTAGTAAACTTTTCGAATCGAAATGCCTTAAAGTATCAGCATGAATGAGGTAACTCATTTACAGGCGTCCTTTGTATAACACGTTTAATCGGTATCGCGCTCTATCGAAACCATGTTGTACGAAACTTTTCTATTTATTAAGTTAACCTAAGACATCATCACACAGAATATCATAATTTAAACTTGAATAGAACATCGACCAAGGCAATGTACACTGAGTTGTATCGAAATCGAATTTTATGCTTAAGCTTAAGAGAAAGTCACATTCGAATGGGGCCGAATCTCGCATACCCACCAACATTAAAATCTTTGACGTCCCCTGCATTTATTCATTGTCAATGAGCAAATACCCACAGATTGTTTTTTTTTTTTTTTTTTAAATTTGAAGCCGATCAATATATTAGTTTTTGCGATCATACTTCGCCGAACGACGAGGGGCATATTCATTTTGTCGAAAAGCTTGCAATGCTAATAACAAAGTTTCATAGCTACCGCAAAGTATATATAAGCATGACTGTCTGTCCGTCCGTCTGTGTAATGTCCGTTGCCAACAAGGTCGTCATCGTAAAAATTAAGTTATCGCCGGCAAATTTGCAAGCTATTTCAAAATGAAGCGAAACACGTACAAGAACACGCCCACAATGCCCATACGTGATTGTAACAAGAACTGCAAACATCTTTACTTTCCGTGTTTTTCGCCTATTTTCGCCACATACACCACATAAATATGCACTTTTATTCTACGAAATGGTCAAGTTAACCACACCCACCTACCATTGTAGAGTATAAAACTGTAATTTTTCTCTATTTTTTAGTTTTTTTTTTTTTTTTTTTGTTAGAATAACACTGATGGGTACAAAAAAAACGATCACGGCCGGATATCATGTTCTTTACTTGTCTTCTTGTTTCTTGTTGTTTCTTCAAATCGGCAAAGCTAAAAAGCAATAATTGATTTTTTGAAATCGTTTTATAACAAAACCCAAAGGATAATATTTGCAAATTTTGTACTGTGTTGTATTCAAACCATGTTCAATAAGTACCACATTATACAAGGACACTTCCGTACTCACATAGCTATCGAAATTCAATTTTAAAACATTGCCTCCAAAAAAAAAAATTTCATTTATTTTCGTTTGTTCAAAAATCCACTAAACACAAGGATTCAAGGACTCGCGCCTACTAATTAAAAATTAAAAAAACTCTATATATAAAGAAAGTAAACTATTTATGTATGAACTGTAGATGATACAAACTCCTATGAGTTGTTGGGAAATTATGTACAGCAATACTCGACAAGGTGTGAGTTATGCAATCGAGGACATGCAGATAGCATCGGTCGAATCGTTTGCAATCAAGTCATTAATGTGCAACAGAAAAGTTGCATCAACGTCAACTGCAACTTTTCTTTCATCTTATGTCCATAACCTATTTGTGTCGACCGTAATACATTTCATTACAATTAAAAATAAATAAATTATTGTAGGCGATCAAATAGTAGCAAGACTTACAATCGTATTCGGGCGTTGTGAGCG